TAGGCGCCTACTAGAACATTTTTTACTTTGGCCGGCTGAGTGGCTTCAGTAATTTCCTTGGAGAAGGCCGACGGCTGTTCACCAAGTCTAAGCAGCCGTAGCTGCCAGTCTATAGGTTGGACGTTATTTGCTGCAGGTCCACCAAATGGAGGTGGCTGCATAAAATACTGTTGTTGCGGCACAAATGGTAAGTTTGGTACCGCCTGGGCACTATGAAAGCCGGACTGACGGGAGGTGCCGCCTGACTGACTCTCATGGTACGACTGAGTATGCCTCATCGAGGCATTTCGCAAACTGTCCTGAAAATTTGAAGTAGAAGCCGACTCTGATAATCGGTCACTCTTCTTCTGCTCTAGCAGGAGCCGAGCATCTGTGAACGTTTGCTTTGACCCGTCCGCCTGAATATGACGAACCGGTTTCCTATTTCCCGTAGGATAACGGAGTTTTGTAAAATCAAGAGCAGGTGGCTCCCGCTTCTTGGATTTAGGATGGGGAGTCGCCTCTCGCCCTTGAACTGGCTTCCTCTTCAGTGAAGTGGAAGGTTTCTTGGCCGACTGCTCTTTGACTGAAGCAGGCGGTTTTTTGTTGATCAACTCTTGGATCTCTCCCTTGAAGTCCCTCATGAAGGTCATGAGTTCGTTCCTTGTGATGGGAGCAGACCCATCAGTCGGCTGTTGCCGAGCAAGCGATGCGCCTGCTGGCTCGCTTCCTGTTTTAAGATGCTCCCGTTCCCTCCTTTCGGTATGGCGGGTACGTCGGGCCCTTAGGGTCCCGTCTGGAGCTGTATGAGTTTCAACCTCAAATTCACTTTCGGTATCATGGTCCGACTGGACTTGAGGGTCGTCTAGGGGACGCCTCTCTTCTGGAGTCGGTACAGACTTGGATGCCATCTCTGAAGTACTCTCCCCACAGACGGCGCCAAATGTTTCGGGGTTTTCTGATGTCCTGCGGGAGAGTTTACAATTCCGAGACTGGAACCGGACGCCTGTACCTGCAAAATAACGGAGACTCCTGAGAGCTCCGCCTCCAACGGTCAAGTTAGTACCTGATTAAGGAGTAATTAATACAGAAATTAAAGTAATGAGATCTCTCTAGGTGAGAGTGCTTAGTGTTGGTAATCTGCGTCGTAAGCGAGATTAGCCGGTTGTTAATAACTCTGTTCTTCTCTGCTTAATCTCTTGATTATTCGATCTTTTGATTAATGAGGATTAATCGAGTATTTATAGCCTTGGGAAGCGTGCAACTCTCTAGGTTTAAGGTAAACCTAGGGCTGACCGGGCCTCTAGACTGGACTGGGCCTTGATGGCCGGTTTTCCCATTTGGCATGGGCGGACACGTGGCGTGTCTTAAGTGGTCCGTGGAGGACGTATCTGTGATTGACACGTGGCAAGCTCCTGTTGGCCTTCGTGAAGGACACGTGGCGGAACCTGGTTGGTCCACTTGTCAGACGGTGATTGGTGGATAAAAATCCCCTAATCACCAACCATACTCCCTTCTTCTACTTCCCTCCACAAACCTATCCCCCTTCCCCCTCATCTTTCTGCTTGCGGTTCTGATTTCAGTTCTAATTTTAGATTATGAAATTATTGTGTGTGTGTGAGAGAGAGAGAGAGTGAGTGTAAGAGTGTATGTGTAAGTGTGTGAGTTTGCTCCTGGCCGTATACATCTTATTTAAGAATCTGATTTCATTTCTAATTATTGAGAGTGTGTGTAAGTGTTTTTTAAAGGGGTGCATATTCACTGTTACTAATTTACTTTATAATACTTTCTGGTAGTAGTTGTGTTGGGTGAGCATGTGTTGGGTAATTTTTGAGCTATGGTGGTTTTTGTAGTAATAATGGAGGCATTTCAGTTTCTACATGCGATTTTTTTCCTCTGCTTTTATGAGAGGGTGTTGATCTATATCAAAAACCTATTAGCTCAAGTGGTAGAGCACTATGCAAATGCATAGATGATGTAGGTTCGAATCCTACATAGGCTGTATTTATAAATAACTATATATAAAAATAAAAATAAAAAAAACCTTAAAAAAAAACTTGATCATCTCTCCTTTTCTACTCAACTATGCTTTGTTCAATACTTTTCCTTTATATATTCACAAAAGATTAAACCACTCAGAAGAACTAAGTTAATATGTATGTATCCCTCAGCTAATTCATAAATAGAAGTTATCACAGACGACATTTGCAGTTTTTCAGGTATACAATCCGGCATTATAAGCTGCTTGTAGGTTTATCAAACGCTAAAAGAACCCTATTAGCCTGCAATCCTGAGCTCTGAAGTAGCTTCTATTACAGTTTCAAGTGAAGTACTTTTCAAATTATCTACTAATTCCTTTACATGAGCCTCAAATCTTGCAGCAATCCCATTTTGATATTCTTGGAGGAATAAGAGTAGGAACTCCAATCTTGTAACAGGGGATATGCAACTGAAATTGTAATGTTTAAACATGGCATATCAATTTAAAACCTTACTCAAATTCTCAAAACCACCCATTATTTTTCTCTAATATCCCCAAATATACCCCTTTTAGGTTTCTGAGTTTCTAGACCAATTGAGTGTAGTTTGCTCATTTCTTTGCTCACAATACAAACTTGTGTCTCACATTACATAGTAAATGAACCTATGTGGGATTCGAACCCACATCTTTGTGCATTTGCACAATGCTCTACCCTTGAGCTAGTAGGCTAACGTATTTAAAACATTCAAACACCACTCACAAAATGAAGCATTAATTTGACAAAAATGAGCAAGAATCATTTGCTCATTTGACAAATGAGCATTAAACAGTTTACTCATTTGACAAAAAAGCATTGAATTTTTTTGCTCATTTGATAAATGAGCAAAAAAATTATTTGCACATTTTTGCTCATTTGATAGATGAGCAAAAAATTATTCGCTTATTTGATAAATGAGCAAAAAATTATATGCTCATTTAACAAATGAACAATTTTTTTTTTACTAGTATTTACTTTCATTAAGCTGACACCTACCTATACATCTGATGCTACACAAAAAATGAAAACAACGTCTTTCTAGAGTGTAGTCCTGCCTTTGCCATTTAAGTAGTAACAACTACAATACACCCTATAGTGCCTCCCTTCAAGCTAATAATATTGGCAATTCATTGTTCTTTATTAAGCCAACAATAAGGTAATTAAAACTTGATTTATAAAGACAAATAAATGAAGAAGCACATATACACATACTTTGACCATTTACCTCTTCAGATACATGGACTTCATCATCTAATTCACTAAGTAAGTTAATATCTTCTTTGTGAGTGTTAAAATGATGAGACATTTCATGGGCTTCTTCTAAATCAATAAGCTCCTCACTTCCACCTCTTGAAGGTTCCTGAGAATTCATCAGCAAGTAGCCCTCTTTTGAAGAACCTACAGCAAGCCCACTAGTAACTGTCTCTGATCTATTCTCCCCATATGAGGCGAGTTCTAGCGTGATTTTAGCTTGAACTTTCAGTTGATGTAAATTAGTGCATTCACTACCTTCTCTCAATTGATTTACATCAGTAGATGGACCGACATAACATTTCCTTCAAACATCACTTTGTTCACAAGTCCCAACAAGGATCTCGTTTGCAGACTCATCCTGTTGAGCATCATTTAAGATCTCATTTGCAAGCTCATTTTTTTAATTAAGCACCATCAAGGACCTCAATCTGAGGACCATTTGGTACATTCATTGCCCTCATTTGTGTTGTTAGCTTGAATTTGATTGTCTCTAAAACTATGAGGACTGTTCTCCAAAGAACTACAGACAAATCACTTGCTTCCAACTATTATAGAGCAAAACTGAAGCAACATATTATAAATAATAGCAAAATAAGAGTTCCAACTAGTAGCAATTTCATAAATACACTCTCATTAGCACAATAATAAGCACAACTAGTTGAAGCAAAACCTGTGAAGAGGATCTGTATTTATGAAGCACTAGTTGGAGCAAAACTGGTTGTAGAAGTCTCATTAGAAAAATAAGACTTTCCAAGTGTACAAAGTTCCCGAAACAAAAGTCGATAATCTCTAAATATCGTTTTAACAATTGATAAACATAATACTTTTGAGACTAATTGGTTTACCTTTACTAATTTTCTATCTACTTTTAGAAAATACAAAAAGCAATAACTGTTCAACTTAAATCAATTTGTAAGCAAGATATATAGATAATTCCGAAAGCAATTGATCATGGATGGGGATAATAAGATAGTATATAGTAACATACTTCCCTAATACTGGACTTATATTATGACATTCACCTCAATCTTAAGGTACATAGCTCATAATCACTAATATAAGCCCACAATCAACTGGATTTTTATATACTAACTCGAACATAATCGCAATGTTTACCTATGAACAAATTATAGCAAAATTCAGAATTTTTTTTTTTTTTTTTTTTCTATAAAAAAATCAATTTCAATCACATACCTTGAATTTTGCGAAACTACAATTTCTTGCAACCTCAACTTTAACAACTTCAATTTCAACAATTTAACCTGAAAAACACTCAAATTAGTTAGTAATTGTATAAAAAACAGTTCAAACACTACATTATTTAATGCTCATTTAAATGAACAAATAATTGTTTGCTCATTTGATAAATGAGCAAAAAATTATATGCTCATTTGCTAAATGAGCAAAAAATCATTTGCTCATATCTCGCAGCACGGACTTTACATCAAGAAGTTCTGCAGGCTTCCTGATAGCATGAACAGCAAAAGACCTCATCAAATTACGATGTCAAGTAGAATAGCTCAAGAAATCATGCTAATTTTCTAAGCAATTATTTAACAGTCTCACAATTTGAAATAATTGCAATAATAGTATAAATTCCATTCAATATATGGTATATCAATAAGTGGTATGGTATACACCAATTGGTTTGACCAGTCCTACCTATGTTGCCTCTTCTTTAATCTTTACCAAGGTTGAAACAGCAACAACAATATGTTTAAAGAAATCCAATACCAATTTTTTTTTCACCAAAATGTTATTATGAGACATAGCTATTGACTACTTCAATGAGATTAAACGCAGCCACCCAACTGCAAAGAAAAATAAAAGGAGGGCAAAAGAGAACGCAAAGTAGTTAGGAAAACATGAAGTTGAGATTTCAAAGAGTTCAGGAGGGAAGGGGAGTTAAAAGATAAAAAGGTTTCATTTCAGAACAACATGTTGTACCAGTATAGCTTCCATCTCAGCACTTGATACTGGTGTTCGCTTGGGCTGGTCAGAAGCCTTCCCAGAGGCAGACAAGGAGTTGCTGGAAGCTGACCTTGATAGGAACGCCTTCAAAGCATCATCTATTGATGGGGAAGAAGATTCTGGCAAAGAGGAAAGGTAAAAAAAAGGGGGGGGGGCAGATGAGATAAGTAAGGAGTTGAAAATTAACACAGCAATAATTACCCAAATGTTTAAAGTCAGCCATTAAACTAGATATAAGTAGTCAAACCTCAAAATTTTCTAAAACAGAAGACCATTGCTTAGCACAACTTTTTCAAACAATATCAATAGGAACAAGGTAGACAGTCTAAGATTAGATTTTAGTACTAAAATTTAATTATAAAAAGAGGCTAGAAGCCTAGAACGCATTTCTAGCAAGAAAGACAACACTAATCAAAGAATCATTCTCAATATCATATTATTGAGATCAATAAAAGCAAGTCATAAACTTGTATTCAGAGAGTAAAGGCGATAATAGTAAATGTGACTACAGTGAGTAATGTAAATACGGAGTAATATTTATAAATGCGGGGATTACGAGTTTAAATATCACAAAGCCGTCCTAACATCAAAATTCTACTCAAATTATGACTCCTTTTATAGCACACTCATTGAATATATAACAAAGCAGACCTCCCATTGTATCCCCCAACCTGATATCTACTGCATTACATTTAGCTTTTCACTTAAACATTTTATCGAACAGTTTACGTGCATCCTCAATTCCTGTTGCAAATTTTTTGAATCAGAATTCACAAGTAAAACAGGGGTTTAACTGTTTGGATTACCTTGAATGTTCGAAGGAAGCTTTATACTAGCTTTAACAGCACTCACAACCAAACCAAAACTACAACATAATCGCAACAAAATCGAGCAAAAATCGCAACAAAACCACAACATAATTTCGAAAATACATAACCAAAATAAGATACATGTTAAAACCTAAATTCAGGCAAAATAAACTAAAATGAACTTGATAATTACTCAAAAAATGAAAATAAAACTAAAATCAACAAAAAAAAACTAAAACATAATCGACACAAAGTAACCTAAAATTAGTGAGATGAAATCAGCACAAATAAAACGAAAATCAAAATGAAGATAAACAATGAATGTAACCTAAAAATTAATTGGAAAACAACAAAAAATTAACAATGAACTTACATTGACGAACAATTGATGAAGATTGGAGAAGTTGTGATGAAATTTCAGAGAGAAAGAGAGAAGAAAACCGAATG